GATATTGGTTCTATATGTAAAACCTATTTCACATGTTCAAATTTCTTTTTTAAATTAATCCTATTAATATTCCCCAATAATAATCAAGTAGGAGAGTGAGAGAGAGAATTGAGGAAGATGTTTAGGGTATATTTAAAAAAATCATATTATAGCAACTAATTTAACTAACATTTTTAATCAACTTAAATTAGTTAATTAAGTCTTATATTAATAATCGGAGTAGTAATTCTTTTCTCCTCTCATTAATACAATTTACCCATCTGGTCAGTGCTCACACGCCTGGCTTCTCTCCTTTGCTCAGTGCAAAATATTCAGGCTGAATCGCTGATCACCTTTTTTTTTTTTTACAAAAAAAAAGTTGCTTGTAAGCTGGTAGTGACACAAATTAAAATTTTCATTTATGCTCTAACTCACTAAGAGGGAGGAACAAGAATTTTGCTGAAGCACATTCCATACTCATGGGAAAAAAAAAGAGCACGAATGGTTTATCTTAATTTAAACAATGCAAATTGATTTTGGATGATTTAAATTCAATTTACTTTTTCATGTTTTAAACTTTTTATTTTACTAGATGATAAATTAAAAATAATATTAAAACTATAGCTTTTTTAAATTTATCATTGAAAAATTACAGATTAAAAAATTTTAAATTTGGACTAACCAGATAAGATTTTGTATAACACAGATTTCACACGGCAATGATCACGTGGTCGCTCATTTTTGTAATGATATCTGAATTTCGCAGTATTCCTGCAAATTCTGAGAAACCCGTTTATTATTTAAATAAAACATTTGTAGCCAAAACATTACCTCAGCTAAAACTGTTCTTTAAAAATTTGATTATTTTATTAATAGTAATTTCAAATTTTTTTAATCATTACTAATTTAAACTTTTGAGAGTCTGCCAGCTTGTACAAAGCAATTGGTTTTCTCTCTCTATTTTTTTTAAAAGGTGATTAGCAATTCATCATGAATATTTTGCACCAAAACGGAAAACGGTGCCATTATGTGAAAAGAAGGGACAGTGGATGTTAATGCCTCTTTTGGTATAATAGAAGAGTTTTTGATGGAAATGGAAGTGGAGGTAGAAATGGAAGTAGAAGTGAATTCTAAGGTATGTTTTGGTATGCCAATGGAAATGAGATATAATTTTTAATAAAAATGTCCATTTATAATGTGAAAAAATGCCCTTGACTTTGAAAAAAAAGAACACTCCCCACCGTCCAAATACTCGGTCTCATCGTCAGCCACCGCAGCAATTTGCCACAGCCACAACCTACCACAAACACAACCATCGTTGACAAACTCAATTATTTTTATATATTTTAATATTTTTTATATGGGTTTTGTCAACTTAATTAGTCATTTTGGTTTTAATTGATTGTTAATTGATTTAATATATTTTATTTTGAATTTATTATTTTATAGGGGCAAAATTGTCATATTTTGGTTTAATTGTGAGTAATTGATTTTTGAGAACAATTAATGCTACCTTATTCTTGAATTTTGTTTGCATGTTTTTGGAGGATTTAAAAATAAAAATAAAAAGAAAAAAGAAAAGAAAAAATATAATAAAAAGATAATTAAACAAAGGGGGCAAAATGTTGCGTTTTGCTCCCCACCCTCCTAATAACCTACTAGTATTATTCAAATGATCATCATTTGGGGGGACGGAGAGACGAACCAGCTGACGGCAGGAGAGAAAAAAAAAACAGAGTGATGGCACGAGAGAGGACCAGCGGCGAGGAAGAGAGAACGAAGGACCAGAGCTTCACGGCAATCACACTTCCTCTCCTCTGAGTCTTCATCATCCATCGACAGCATCTCTTCTTCTTTCTTCTCTATGACTTCTTCCTGGTGGCAGAGCAGAGGCGCACACATGAGCTGGAGAAAAGAAGGAGAGCTGGCGGCAAAAAAAAAAAAAGAAAAAAAAAGAGCGAACAGGGAGCTCGCGACAGCAGGAGGCGAACAGAACAGGGGGACGGCGTGAAGGGAGTCACCAAAACACTGCATCTTCTCCCTCTCCACGTTGCAACAAAATCAAAGGACTAAGGGAGTAACGGCTTAAAGGAGAACCAGAGAAGCTCGACGGTTTTCTTCACTTTTCCTTCAATATTCTTCATGGCTGGATATGGTAGACTGCTAGAGGTGGCATTTTTTATGGTAAACCATGGCTAACTTCATAATTCTCTAATTCAACAATAATAGCAGGACCTCAGATCATCAAATGAGAGTTTTAGTTGCTTTAATTTTCTGTCCAATAGTTGTTTAGCAATTCCTAGATCTTAGAATAGTTATTCTGATTATTAGAAAATTTTTATTGTTTAATCTGATTATATTTAAATATTATTGTGACTGGATTAGTATTTAGCATTTAACATTTGACATTGAGCTGTTTATAGTTTTAATTTCAATTATAATGTTGTGGTTATGACATTTATATTGATTTTGGAGTTAATATATTTTGATGTTTTAAGCTGGCTTAGAATCTTGGATCATATTGTCTCTTGCTAACTTTAATTCTGTTGTTTTGGATTTAAGCGTTCTAATTAAGCATTGGTTTTTAGCATCCTTAATCCCATTTTATTATTCTGGTCACAGTTAGTAAGTTGGGATTTTAGGAAAAATTTTGTGGCAATTCGAGGTGGTTCGGTTGTTAGATTAAAAGCTTAATTATAATTCTTAATTCATTATTTTAACTCCCGCATCTTTTGGAGTGAGGATTGCCTACGTTGTTGAATTAGAGGATTGATTGTTATCATTGTTATTTGTGTGTTCCATTTTCATTTCATTAATCTTTATTCATTTTAATTATTTTTATATAAAAACAAAAAAAAAAGTATTTTAATTTCAATTTAATTCAAGGTGTTTACTTAGAAATTATCAAATCAAAAATCTTTTTTTATAGTTTAGGTTACTTGCATTTATTTATTAGGATTTAATTTCATTTTCAGTTTCTACTATATTACATTTTACATTAATTCGGTTTACTTGGAAATTATCAATCCTCTTCCATTTTTAACAACTATCAGCCATCAATAATCAATAGCAATTCAAACAAAAAAAAACAGAGAGAAGAAAGGATTCAGAAGCAGAGGTATCGCCATAAAAGAAGAGGAGAAGAGGAGGACAACGAGGATGAAGAAGAGTTTTAGACAAATAGCAATCTCTCCCTCATGGCTTCATGGTTGCAAATTTGAATCAACGTGGATGATCGCGAGTCCACGCAACCTCTCCCTCATGAGGACGATAACAGAAGATGGTTGCGAATCGCGAGTCTCCCTCATGGCTTCAAATCCGAGAAATCTGAAGCCGTTGCCATCAGAAGGGAAAGGGTGGGAGACAAGGACGATAGCAAAAAATGATTACGGCTCCAGTGCTTCATAGATCTGAAGTTGTCGCCTCCTACTATATCACGAATCTGCTACGACCTAATCTCAGATGAAGTCGTTGCTGCCTTTTACCCTTAGATCTGAAGTCGACGGTTTCTTCACTGGTGCTTCTTCATCATTATCAGTGCTTCTCATGGAGGTTTGCCATCACAGGAGGTTGCTGAAGGGGGAGGCTGTCGAACGGTTTAGGAAGAAAGGAGGGTTATAATGTTAATGGCAAAATTGTCAATAAATTATAAAATTGAGGATATAATGGTCTAAAAAAATCACTTCCATGGAACTGGATGAGTTCCACGAGTCACAGGGTGGAAGTTAGTTCCAGCATTTTTGGTGGAAGTGACATCGTAGAGAATTGAGTTCCAGCGCACCAAACAAACAAAAAGGTTAATTCCACTTCCACTTCTCTTCTTCCAATTCCTTGCTACCAAACGGGGCATAAGAGAAAAGGAGAAAAGGCAACATATATGATGAGTGCACTACTAATCTTAGAACATCTCATCACATGCATCAGAAAGGCTGTTTGTTTGCCAACTTTTAGACTATTCCTGAAGGCCACTTTTTTGTACAACGTATTTTTGTTAAAAATAAAATATCGCTACTATATTTGAGGGTTATTCATTGAATAAACGTTAAATATGGGGGAAATAACCATTAAATATAAGTAAATATATCGTATCGTTTAGCCCGAGAAAAAATTTGGGAAAATAGCAACAAAAAAAAAAAAAAGATTGCCAAAGTAGAAAAATTGCACATAGGAACTGATTTACAAAAATTGTTGTTAAAACCCATACTAATATTATTATAAGTCCTTATTTGTAATTTTTCTATTTTGACGGTTTTTTTTGTCATTTTTTCAAAAAAAATTTTGTACTTTAGTCCCTAAGAAATATTCTACTTTTTTATGGCACACTTAAGACTTGCTCATTTGTGCTTAATAGTCTAATTGATTTAAGTTTATTCTTAGCTTCTAGACCCAAATCTGAGATGTGACAAATGAGATTTTGAATTATTTGCAAAATATTTTTTTTATTAAATACTTGTTTTTTCATGTTGTATGTATTCAATTTTGTTCATTTAATAATTTTTCATATAATTTCATTTGGGTTATGATTGTATTTTTAGAAGTTGAAAATAATTGTCATGCTTTCATTACTCAAAGTTATGCCCTGAAAAATTATTTTTCACCTCAGATGGTAAGTTGTGACAGAGCTTAAATTTGATTTTGTTACGGTGATATTGTTATTGAGATTTCACGAGGTCTCATTTACAAGGGAGACTCTTTTACATGATGAAACTTGTAAGTTTTGCTGGAAGGAAAATATCTGAGGAAAATCTTCAGTATGGTACTGGATCTATAGAAAGATTCAAGATATTTTATGCCTTATTCTGGACTTAAGGAATACGAGATTTCTCATATTTCAAGAGATTACCCCTCAATTATTGGGACAATGGGACCCAACATTCTTAGTCCAACAAAACATAAGGAACAAGTTCTTAAAATTCCTTTATATAGTACACCGAAGAATATCCTATTTCTGTTTCATATGCAAAGCCAAAAAAGAAAAACAAATAGGATGTGTTAATATGATGACTCTCAAGGGCGATGATTTACCTAGCTGAGAGGGTAGTGATTGGATCAAGCTGTCCAGAATGATTGATTTGATGGCTTGGTACGCCATTTGAATTGGTGTGACCAATCTCCATAGCTAAACATTCCTTTAGTTCACGCAACACAGAACTAATGTCTGGCCTTTGAGTAGACAGTGGCGCAATGCAAGACATTGCTGTCTCCACAGCTTTCCATGCAGAACTAACATTGAATTCACCCGCCAGCCTTAGATCAACAATGCCTTGGATATCCCTACACTCAATTTTTGGACGGATCCAATCAATAATAAAACATATATCCTCAAGTTCCCTTCTTATTGGCGGGTGGCCAGTGATTAATTGGAGAAGAATCATTCCAAAACTATAGACATCACTTTTTTGGTTTAGGTTTCCAGACCTGTGAAATCTGTAAATATCAATAAACAATTAGTTTATAATTTTTGCAAACAAACAATTAGTTTATAATAGTTGTTTATTTTCTTTGGGGTCAACATGCTTATGTAAATTCCTAATTTAGTACTTCCTCCAATAAAACCTCATTTGTAGTGGAATTTAAATCATCAACTGGGTTTTATATTTAGGACCGGAAAAAGAAGTAACAACTCTATTAAATTGAATTTCAAGAAATATAATGGTATATTTCCTCCTAAAAAAATCAATAACAACATTCCTTCATTTGATAAAATGCAGTGACTTACTCAGGATCAATAAAACCAGGTGTACCAGCTGGTCGAGTTGATAGATGAGAATCCATTTCATTTTCAAATGCTCTGGATAATCCAAAATCAGCAATCTTAGCTACCATATGCTTATTTAATAAAATGTTTGATGGTTTTAAGTCTCTGTGGATTATAGGAGTTTTACAACCAATATGGAGATATTCCAGACCTGCAACATCATTAGATTATGTAAGGTAGAGGAGCATGTGATTGTTAGGGTGAAAAAAACATCACTAGTTCTCTAACCTTTTGCTACATCTATAGCAACTTGAAGCCTCTCGTCCCACCTTAAAACTTTTGAATTTTTCTCTGTGGACATCAATTTGTTAGTCAAAGTGCCTCAGGAGCCAAAACATGCATATGATGATAATGGTTCGTGTGTAGTGATTGAATGAAGTTGCACACACACACACGCATGAATCTGGTACGAGACCAGTATGAGCAACAAAGCTAAATGTCAAGGTTGGATCAATGTTGAGATTTGTTAAAAGAAGGGGTGTAATGTTAACGTTTCAACAACAGTCACAAATAATCCGTTCCAGCTCTGAATGTATTATTGAGTGTTCATCCGGCGATTACAGAGCAAATGCATGGAAACAAAGGTACGTAAATGCAGAAATCATAATGACACAAAAGCTTAGACACGGATAGAGAGAGAGACACGAAGGAGGGAGAGAGAGTACAGAGCAGTGGGGAGAGAGAGATTAGGTTTCAAATCATTCCACACACATCTAACCATTTCTGACATCCATATATTATTCTGCACCCTCCAATGCACGCAACTTCCACGTTTTCTTCCGCATCCTCATGCTTCTACGTAATGCTACGAGCCTATGCATGTCTGATGGGCCTCCATTTCCTAAGCCCATATGCTTCGGTGTTACAATACCCTCCCCATTAGAATGAACCTTGTCCTCAAGGGCCAGATTAGGATACAGCGCAGCCATTTCAGAGCGGTCTTCTCATGTGGAGTCCAGAGTGCTATCCTAACGGATCAAAACTTGGGAGACCAGAACAGAATCTCGAGTGATGGTGCGGGTATTTAACACCTCTAGTGGTTGACAGATAGGGCCCTCTGGCGGGGTGGTTAATGGCAATGGCAAATATGGTTGGAGTGTATTAGCGCCCACAAATTTCTTAAGGAGTGAAACATGAAAAACAGGGTGTATCTTTGCATGAGCTGGCAAGGCGAGACGGTATGCAACTTGACCAATCCATTCCAGCACTTAGAAAGGTTCAAAGTAGACCATTGCCAGTTTGTGATAGCAACGTAACTGCACTGAGTGTTGGCAGTACGGCTGAAGTTTCACCAGAACCCAATCGTTAATTTGAAATTTGACCTCCTGGCGCCTTTTATCAGTGAATTTTTTCATTCTGGCTTGAGCCTTCTGAATATGCAACTTGAGAAATCCTAAAACTTCATCGCGCTGCAGCAGTTGCTGTCCAAAGACGAGTATCGAAGCAGAGGAGGTGGGTCTCTGCCATACACAACCTTAAAAGGAGTGAAGCTCGTGGAGTGATGGAAGGATGTATTATACCATAACTCTACCCAAGGCAAGAATCTTAACCACTGTCAAGGAAAATCATGAACGAAGCAACGGAGATATAACTCTAAACACTTGTTAAGCGCCTCGAACTGGCCATCCGACTGAGGGTGGTAGGTCAATGTAAAATTCAACTGGGCACCTTGAAGCCACATCAAATGGCGCCAAAAAGCACTAGTGAATACCCTATCACGGTCAGTCACAATGGACCTTGGGATACCGTGTAGCTTTACCACATGAGACAGAAACAATTCAGCTACCAGAGCACTCATAAAATTACCAGGGAGAGCAATAAAGTGACCATATTTAGACAAACGGTCAACGACCACCAGAATAGCAGAGTTGCCACAGACCACTAGTAACCCAACAATAAAATCCATAGCAATATCCTCCCAAATATGCATAGGAATCAGGAGTGGGTTCAAAAGACCGGCAGGATGTAACTGGGAAAGCTTAGCTCATTGACACACTGTACAAGCTTTAACAAAGGAATGAATATCCTTTCGCATCGTGGTCCAGTAAAATAGTTGGTGAATGCGATAGAAAGTATGAGTAAAACTTGCGTGTCCACCAATCATCGAAGAATGATATTCATGAAGTATGGCAGAAATTAAATCTGGGCAGTCGCGTGGAATCACTAATCGATCACCCCAATACACTTCACCGTGGCGCATATTATAGTGAGGATCAACAGGATGTCCCTGCGTCAGTTGATCCTTGAGGTGGTGAATCTTAGGGGACCCTTGTATGACCGAATAAACTCGGTCGATGAATGTGTCTGTCATGGTCGTCAAGGCCATTGCGACGCGAGACAAAGCATCAGCGGCCTAATTATGCTTGCCCAGTTTATATTTAATGGAAAAGCAGTACCCTAAAAGCTTAGGCAAGCACGCCTCTTGCTCGGGTGTCTAAATAGTTTGCTCCATGAGGTGTTTCAAGCTTGCATGATCCGTTTGAATAATAAATGGGTGTCTGAAGAGGTAATGGCGAAACTTAGAGACTGCCTCAGTGATAGCTTGGAGCTCTCGCACGTATGTAGATGCGGCTCGTAGTCTGGGTGGTAGTCTCTTGGATAAGAAAGCAATAGGATGGTTCTCCTGACTTAGAACGGCACCAATACCATTGCCAGATGCGTCTGTCTCCAAGATAAAAGGCTTCAAAAAATTAGGCAAGGCCAAGACAGGGGCATGTGTTAACGTATTTTTTAGTTTATCAAAAGCATGTTGGGCTTCCTCTGACCACACAAAAGAATCTTTACACAAGAGGGTTATTAATGGACTAGCAAGCCGCGCATATGCTTTAATGAAGCGTCGGTAGTATCCACTAAGACCAAGGAAACCCTTCAGTTGCGTGACATTTTTGGGTCTAGGCCAATTCTGTACTACTTGCAATTTAGTCAGATCCATTTCCACTCCTCTCTCTGAGACTACATGACCCAAGTATTCTACCTTCCGTTGCCCAAAAGTACATTTAGAAAATTTGGCGAACAAATGGTGTTGTGTCAGGACTTGCAACACTGCCTCAAGGTGTTTGGGATATGCATCCCAAGTAGCACTGTAGACTAATATGTCATCGAAAAAAATAAGAATGAACTGTCATAAAAATCGACGAAATATCGTGTTCATCAGTGTCTGAAAAGTTGCCGGAGCATTGGTTAGCCCGAATGGCATGACTAGCCATTCATAAAGCCCCAAATGAGTCCGAAATGCCGTCTTTTCTCGATCAGACTCCCTCATTAAAATCTAATGATATCCTGATCTAAGGTCCAATTTGGAATAAAAAACAGAGCCGTATAATTCGTCCAGCAACTCGTCTATGGTCGGCATAGGAAACGCATCACGCACAGTTACTGCATTTAATGCTCGGTAAGCCACACAAAACCGCCAAGAGCCATCTTTCTTCTTTACCAAGATGACAGGTGCAAAGAAAGGGCTAGTGCTCGGACGTATCAATCCTTCTTGAAGCAGATCTACTACCATATTTTTTATCTCAGTCTTTTGGCTCACCGGATAGCGGTATGGACGCACCTTTACTGGTCCAGTGCTAAGTAATAGCTCAATCTGGTGTTCATGACCCCTTAATGGTGGTAAGCCATGCGGAGTGTCGAAAACACTCTTAAACCTCTCTAACAATCGTGCTAACTCCTTAGGCGTGTCCTCTTTCTCATATATCTACGTGGAATTCAATGTTTTATTCGAGCCGTCTTGTAAGGGGGTCAGCATGAAGCATTCGGCAATGGCATCTATGTTTTGTATCCGTACTAAATGATGGAATTGCGCCTGAGTCACGACAGGTCCTCTGAATCCTTTTAAAACAACAAACTGACCGTCTAGCAGGTATTTAATCGTGGATGTGCTATAGTCTGCAATGTGGGGTCCTAAGGTCTCCAACCAGTCCTCGCCCATTACGATATCAGTGCCCGCCACCGGTAGTACATACAAAGTTAACTTAATCTTATTACCATTTACCATTACTTCGAGATCCCTCACTTCTTCTACGCTTCGTACTATCCTGCCAAACCCGCCAAAAACACAAATCTCAGGTACTGGTACCATAGTCAGGTTGAGGTGTTTAACGACGCGAGGATGGATAAAATTGTCAGAACTGCCCCGTCCAATAGAATTTTAATAGGCAGCCCTTGTATAAGCCCATTAAATTGTATAGTTACGGGCCCTTGTGTGTCTCTTAGAGCATAGATTGATAAATGGTGCAACGTAGCGGTGGCCTCTGTTTCTTTCATAATTATTTCTCTGTCATCCCCCTGTTCCTTTTCCCCTGTTAACATCCTGAGTTGCTTGTTCGGGCACTTTTGGGTAGGTGAGAATTTAGCGTCGCACGTATAACAAAGGCCTTTCTCTCTTCGGACCTGCATTTCCGCTGCTGTCATTCGTTTGACTGGCATCGTCTTAGGTGTGGGCAAGAGTGGGGGCAAACTAGCTTTTCCCCTTCTAGAAGCTGTCAATGTGGTACCGCTGCCACCCATGTTGCTCGTAAGCAGTTTGGTCGCCACATGTTGGGATGTAGCTAACTAAGCTATCGAAGTCCCCGTGGTTATCGGCTCAGCAAATAACCTGGATAATGCCATCGCATTTAGAAGTAGTGCCTTTGTACCAATACATCACGCTTCAACTCGGGTTTAAGACCCCCTAAATAGCAGTCAAGTAGTGCCAATTTTGGTACATCCTCAGTATAGTTTGTGAGGGACAAGAATTTCTAATTATATTCCTCTATCTTCCTTCCCAGACCTTGTTGTGTTGGCTTGAAAAGCTGTGCTCGAGGGCAATCGAATTGCATAGGCCCGTAATATACCTCTACTGCCTTAGCTAGATCCAGCCATCGAGTAACCCATCCTGCCTTTTGCAACATTTGATACCAGGGCAAGACGTCTCCGTCAAGATGCACCAAGGCTATCACCAACCGTTGAGGATCTTGTATATCATAATATTTGAAAAAACACTCAGCCTTAAAGAGCCAATCTAACGCGCCATCAAACCGAGGAAAATCGAGCTTCAGTGATCTATAAGGACTCGGTATACAATCAACCGCCTGTGTAAATGGCCCCCCGCAAACGAAGGTTCTTTACAGCTCGATACGGGAGAATCCACAATCGACTGCAACCCTTCTACAGTTTTCATAAGGGCTCGCATCATGCCTTCTAATGCATCAAATCGAGTGTTCACCTCTTCCAAACGATTATCGATCTAACTGAAGGGGGCTCGAGCATCCTCTTTAAACTCATGGGTGCGTCTCATATCAGCTTGCAGC